GACACTGTCCTTAGAATCGCTCAGTAGGTACAGCTGCAGGTCGTCAAGCCACGTGTCAAATTGAACTGGTCTACCCTCATGATCAAACGCAAGAACACGAAGTGAAGCCATAGCTGTGCAGTACGTAGGAGTAACAGTAGCAGCAGAGCAAGAGCAGCAGTGATAGTGGAACTGAGAGGCCGACGGGGCCAGGCGCGAGCTAGGAAAGGGGCCGGGCGAAGGGCTAAGGGACGGGGCCGGGCACAGGGCTAGGTACGGGACCGGGCGTGGGCTAGGTACGGGGCCGGGCGCTGGGCTAGGAACGGGGCCGGGCGCTGGTCAGGTACGGGGCCGAGCGCGGGCTAGGTACGGGGCCGGGCGCTGGGCAAGGTACGGGGCCGGGCGCTGGGCAGGTACGGGGCCGGGCGCTGGGCAGGTACGGGGCCGGGCGCTATACAGGGCCGGGCGCGAGGCTAGGTACGGGGCCGGGCGCAGGCTAAGTACAGGGCCGGGCGCGGGCTAGGTACTAGGCCGGGCGCGAGGCTAGGTGCGGGGCCAGGCGCTACACAGGGCTGGGCGCGATACAGGGCCGGGCGCGAAATGGGGCCGGGCACGATACGGGGCCGGGTGCGAAAACGGGACCAGGCTCGGAGTGGGGCCGGGCGAAAAATGGGGCCGGGCGCGAAATGAGGCCGGGCGCGAGACGGGGCCGGGCGGGAAAACGGGGCCGGGCACGAAATGGGGCCGGGCGCGAAATGGGGCCGGGCGCGATACGGGGCCGGGCGCTAAACGGGGCCGGGCGCAGGGCTAGCTACGGGGCCGGGCGCGATACGGGGCCGGGCGCAATACGGGGCCGGGCGCGATTCGGGGCCGGGCGCTATACTGGGCCGGGCACGAGGCTAGGTACGTGGCCGGGCGCGGGCTAGGTACGAGGCCGGGCGCGGGGCTAAGGGCCGACGGGGCCGGGCGCGGGCTAAGGACGGGGCCGGGCACGGGCTAGGGGTCGACGGGTCGCGTAGGCTAGGAGCGACGGGCCTAGGGACGGTTACCAGCAGTGCAGCAGGTGGTGGGCCCAAGGAACCTGATCTGATACCATGTCAAAGTAACGAACGAGAAGGAATGAACTAGCAAACAGTTGGGTACAAGTACTAACCCTAATTGGGTTGTACCCCTTGTGGGCTACCCCACTACAGCCTACACAAATGTATAAGCTATAATGTTCTGACATAGACCGCTACTGCGAACACGACTCTTGGACGATACCGAAACGACGAAAGCAGCGCCGAGCTGGCGCGCGCAGGCTATTCGCACGGAAGGACCCACCATGCAAACCCCGCAAACATACCGGACACCGCACCAAAGGGCAAGAGCCACAGAGGTAGAAATGGAGCAGGAACGGAATGTCACGTCCGATCCTGGAGAGACCCTGCAGGATCACAAATGGGCATCGGAAGCAAGAGAACGGTGGCAGCACCGGGAAAGGAAGGTGCCGCCGTCGGAGATGCCCGGAATGGAAGTACAGAAGCCGAAGGACTCGACACTCCCCGCACTAGAAGAATGGTAGCAAGCGGAGAGGCGCATCAATCGGAGAGCGGTAGCGGAAAGCTTAATCTGCCGGCGACACGATGGAAATCGGCGAATCTGCCGAAAGTGGAGGTGGCGGAGCGATACACCAGCATCCAAGGAGTGGGACCGAGCCTGAAAAACTATCTCATGTAGCTAGAAACGGTGTAGTACTGCTGGGAAAGAGATGGATACGACCCGAGCGAGTTCTTTAGGAAAATATTGGGGACTCTAGCCGGAGAAGCAGAAACCTTCTACCGAATGGTGCGAGAGGAGATCTTGGAGGAGCTCGCGTGCGGAGAAATAGAAAATCCGATGGCGCGGTTCCTGAGTATGCTGCGGAAAGAATTCGTGGGACAGACAAAGGCGCGGGTAGAGGAGTTCCGGGAATTCCGGCGGAAAAGAGAAGAGTCCCTCCTGGCATACTAAGAGAGTTGGCCGAAGATTTAGAGAGCAAAGATGAGCGTCTGCTAGTGCGTAAGTTCGTGCGAGGCCTAGAGGAGGAGCTAAGGAATGTGGCCAGGAACACTGTGTACGGCATCGGCGTTGACATAACTCTGAAAGAAGTATGCAGGCTGGCTAAAAGGACGGAGCATGCGCAGCGAATGCTGGACCTAGAAGATAGCGAGAGTCGCAGCCGAACCAAGATGAGCTGGGCGGCAGCAGCAATGCCGGAGGTGATCGGTGTGGGAATCGGAAGGGGTGACCCCAGGGCCTGCCATACATGCGGAGAAAGCGGACATTTGAAGAGGGACTGCCCCAAAGCACCGATCTGTGAGCACTGCGGCAAAAAAGGCCATCAGAAGGAGGAATGCTACAGCAAGCCAAGGGAGCCGCTGGGGCAATGCTCAAAGAGCTACAAGCCAAAATGAAGAGGCTGCAGCTAAAGCTGGAAAGGATGCAGCCCGCGGCGGAGGCGAAGACACGGGCCATGTTCGCATACGAGGAGATAGAAGGCGAAGAGGAGGAGGAAGAGTACCGAAGGGAACATGCAATGATGGCATATCCAAGGGGAAGAGATGAGATAGACTTGAGGCCCAGAGAAAGCTCCACGCAGGAGAGTGAAGTAAGCAGCAGAGCTCTGAGGCGCAACAGCCAGAGAGTGCGGGCGGCAAGCTCTGAAATAAGGAGGCACCCCAACGAGCGGCTTGTGTTGTCAGAACTAGCAGTAGAAAGTAAGAATGAAGAAATGAGGGGTTTCACTAGCAAGCAGTTGAGTACATATAGGAAACCCTAGATTGGGCTGTACTCGCTATAGAGCACCCCACTGCAGGCTAGACAAATACAACATTCTGACACACCCCCATAGTCAAAGTGGGGTGTAATCAGCACAATGAGCAGGTATAGCAGGAGTTCACAATAAGAAGCAAAGCTAGAGGTAATCACAGCGGGCAAGTGAGGAGGAGGAGGGACTGTGAGAGGAGAGAAGATGAGAGACGGCGGCTGAAGCTGCAGACACACGGGCAACAGGAGCTGCTGGCACAGTGGCTACCGGGACAGTGCGCCCCGGACTACTGGAGTAACTGGCTCACGGGCTACGACGAGCTATAGGAGCAACGGACCCTCGGGCGACAGGCGCAGCAGACTCTCTGGGCTACCAGGACAGTGCGCCCCGGACTACAGGTGCTGCGGACGACAAGACAGCAGCCTCCGCTCAACCTCCTCCAACTGTCCCACACACCCCCCACACACCCACTGCTTCACTCCTAACTCCACTTGCACGTCACCCCCCTAGTACCACTCCTTCGGCTCCCACACACCCACCCCCCTCAGCGGCAGCTGCAGCACTGGGAGACGGAGGAGGAGGAGGAGCAGGGGACGACGCACAGAAACTGTACCCCCATACCCCCCACCCCCAAACCCTAATTCAGGAGAACGGGCAGCAGCAGGGGTGGGGCGCCGTCAGAAGCACGGGGGACAGCGGGCAGCGCAGGGGCAGAGAAAACAGGGCGCCCACGGGCCTGGCGCAGCCCGTACGAACCGCGTGCGGGCGGCCCGAGGCGCGCCCTGGCCTGGCGCAGTCCGTACGGGCCGCGCGCGGGCCTGGCGCTGCCCGTACGGGCCGCGCGCGGGCCTGGCGCAGCCCGTACGGGCCGCGCGCGGGCCTGGCGCAGCCCGTACGGGCCGCGCGCAGGCTGTACGGGCCGCGCGCGGGCCCTACGCAGGTCGCGCAGGCCGCGACGGGCGACGGAGGGCGACGCGCGGGTCCCCGTCGCCCGTCGCAGCGCCTCCCGGGAGCGACGCGCGGAGTGACGGGGCAGAAAGCCGCCGCGCGCCTCGGGGCGCACGGCGGGCAGAAAACCGCCGCGCGCCTCGGGGCGCACGGCGGGCAGAAAACCGCCGCGCGCCTCGGGGCGCACGGCGGGCAGAAAACCGCCGCACGCTCCGAGCGCGCGGCGGGATGAAAAATCCGTCGCACGCCACGGGGCGTGCAACACACAGAGTAGCAGTAGCAGCGGAAGCAGTGAGGTGGTGGGCCCACCCACAGGATCGACCCAAGGGGATCGACCTGCTCTGATAGCATGTCAAAACTAGCAGTAGAAAGTAAGAATGAAGAAAGGAGGGGTTTCACTAGCAAGCAGTTGAGTACATATAGGAAACCCTAGATTGGGCTGTACTCGCTATAGAGCACCCCACTGCAGGCTAGACAAATACAACATTCTGACATGTGTGCCAGGCGTCCGTACCCATCGCGGAAAAGGGGAGCATAACGGTGGGAGGGCTGCCTGTGAAACAAGCCATAATAGACACTGGGGCCCATAATGTGCTGATCGGGAAAGGTTTGGCGAAGCAGCTGAAGTTGGACCAGCCAGGCAGGTTGATAGACCGAGGGATACTGCTGATGACCGCCGAGGGAGGAGAGCCGAATTGGATGTCAGATTGCCATCCTCATTCTAACCTACATCAATCCTATAAGCGTAGGATAGAGATAGCCACCCAAACTTAGTTTGGGTGTAGAACTAGGGCTAAACCTAGTTGGGGGTTGGAACTCAAACCTTGGCCCCCAAGGTTGGGTTGGGAATTATTGGTCCCCCCAATAATGTTGAACCACTTGGTCAACATTAGTGGTCCCCCCAATAATCCCTCAACCCAACTTATTGGTGGGGGCCAATAATGTTGGCTTGGTTCCAACCAATCCCCCCCCCTTTAGCACTACTATGTATACCCCAATCTCTCCTAATGAAATCAATGGTTCTTCCTCACGTTTTCTCACATGGTAATCAGAGCGAAAACGGCTCACACTTTCTCCGATCCTAAGAACCACACCTCCGCGTGCCTTAACACGCCCCCCTCCCTCTTAGCGCCAAGTGCGCACCTACGCCGTCACGGCCCCCCTCCCCGCGCTAAATTTCAGCACCTCTCCCCCCCTTCCTAAGGTCAATTTCGCCACTTACGGCCCTCCCCTCTCTCCCGCGAGCACGCTAACCGTCGGAACGACTACCGCGCCCGACGAAACCCTAATAGGGGGCGACCGCCGCGGACGCCGCGAACGCGGGCGCCCGCCGCGGACGCCGCGAATGTCGCCCGCGAACGCCGCGAACGCGGGCGACAGCCGCGGACGCGACGACCGCGGGCGACCGCCGCGGACGCGACGACCGCGGGCGACCGCCGCGGACGCGACGACCGCGGGCGACCGCCGCGGACGCGACGAACGCGGGCGACCGCCGCGGACGCGACGACCGCGGGCGACCGCCGCGGACGCGACGACCGCGGGCGACCGCCGCGGACGCGACGAACGCGGGCAGCGAACGCGACGAACGCGGGCGACCGCCGCGGACAGCGGAGGCGAACGCGGGCGACCGCCGCGGACAGCGGAGGCGACCGCCGCGGAGGCGACCAGCGGAGGCGACCGCCGAGGAGGCGACCAGCGGAGGCGACCGCCGCGGACGCGACCAGCGGAGGCGACCTCCGCGGTCGGGCGCATCCGCCATGACGAACGCGGGCGCTCGTCGTGGCCTAAACCGCCGCGACAAGGGCGGACAGCGCAGCCGCGGGTGACCCAGCGCAGCCGCACACACCGTGACCGCACCACCCTTCCAGGTGGTGTCGTCCCCCCTCCTTGACCGCACCACCTCTCCAGGTGGTGTCGTCCCCCCCCCTCCCCCCTCCCCCCCCCTTTTCTTCCCCTCTCCTCCTCCTCCTCCTCCTCATGGCGGACGACTCTACTCCTCTTGAGCTCAGAGCCATTGACAAGCTCGAACTTCTCCATAACACTACGGCTGTAAATTGGGCGTCGTTTGAAGACACACTTCACACGCACCTTGGCTCCGTCATCATCCAAGACTACTGCCTTCTTGATGTAGTCCTCGAGCACCCTAATGGCCTCCCACCTATTTCCCCTCCTCCTCTTGAACCTCCTCCCTCTGACGCCCCTCCTCCACCCGAGCCTCTTCCCGACCCCCCGCGTGCCCCAGTTCATGATGACAACCCGGATCGCTGGGAGGCCAACCTGAACGCCTACAACAAACTTCGCGACACCTACACCCTTCAACGTGAGGCGTACTGTGTTGCAGAAGAGGCACACGCTACAGCCACTGCACGCATCCTCTCCTACGCTCAAGATGAGAAAGACTATGCTGAGGAGCTTCGCAAGCTCCACAAAGATGTTGCAGCATGGCGTGTTGCGGATCGTCGTGCACTCGCCATCATCTTCTCCTGCATCCCCTCTCACCTCAAACGCGACCTTCGTCCCACCTCCTCCTCTGGACTCTGGAAAACTCTATCTACTCAGTACGATCGTCAGGATCTTCGCTCCCTCCTTGCACTCTTTCGCAAATTCCAAGACATCACCCTTGACTCCTCCCCCACTCCTGGGGCCTACACCCGTCGCCTCACTGACACTGCACAACGCCTCAATGACTGAGGCATTGTCATCTCTGAGTCCCTTCTCACTACACGCATCCTCGACTGCCTCCCTCCCACATATGACACCTACCGCATCACCTTCACCTCCCGCTACCGTCATCCTCCTCATGTGGCTGACACCATCGAGTGGCTACTTGACAGCGAAGCAGACATTCAACGTGACTCTGCCACTGTCAATGCTGTCCAGACCCGCAAAGCTACCACAGGCAACCTCAACAGCGGAGGAGGTGGCGGCCCAGGTGGCACCGGCAGTGGTGGTGGTGGACGTGGTAGTGGGCGAGGAGGAGGACGTGGTGGTGGCCGAGGTGGTGGCCGTGGTGGGCGTGGCGGACACCCCCCATCCTCGGGCACCCTCCCCCCATGTCAGTATATCATTCGCTATGGCTCCAACAAAGGTCAGCCATGCTCACAGACCACTCACACCATTGACACATGCTTCAAATCCCTCACTGACGAATGGTTTGACCGTGGCAATGTTGGCACCCCACCTCGCTGGAAAACTGTTTTCCCACGCCCCTCTCCCCATGACATCCGCACTCTCCCTGCCTATCAACCCTCCACCCCCAACCTCCACAATATCCTCATTCAACATCTCCCATCTCACATCCTTCACCAAGTCCAAAATCTCCTCTCCTCATCCACCCCCACTCCCACTCGGATGGCGGTGGTGAGTTCCTTAATAACATGCTCTCATCCTACTGCACCACTCATGGCATTATTCACACCTACACCCAACCTCATTCCCCTCAGCAGAATGGCGTGGCGGAAAGCAGGGTCCGTGAGGTCACCAAGACTGCTCGGTGCCTCATGGTCCATGCCTCCTGCCCGCCCTCTCTCTGGGGCTATGCCATCCTTCACGCTGCCATCCTCACTAACCTGTACCCTCATCCCTCCCGGCCCACCACCACTCCCACTGCACTCTGGACGTCCAAAAAGCCCGACATCACCCCCCTGCGCGTGTGGGGGTCCCTGGCGTATGTTCTCATACACCCTGTCGACCGCTCACGCAAAGCTGGGAAGCTAGCCTCCCGCACTCTCCCCTGCATTTTCCTTGGTCACAACACCTCCTCCCTGGACTATCTCTTCCTCCATCCCCCCTCAGGTCGCCTCATTCGTAGTCGGGATGTAGAGTTCGATGAAGCTCACCCGTACTACACCTCCCCCAAAGTCCCTAACCCCCTCCCTCTAACCACCCGTCCCCTCCTCTGGACTGACACCATTCCCCCCCCAACCCCTCTCCCCTCCCCTTCCCTTCTCCCCCCCCCCCACCATTGTCCCCCCTGCACCCCCACCCCCTCCCCCCTCTCCCCCCACCTCATCAGGAGACATCCTTGACCCCGTCCACCCTCCCTCCCCACCCGCTGCCCCTCCCCCTCCCTCCCCACCCGCTGCCCCTCCCCATCCCTCCCCACCCCCTCCCCCTCCTTCCCCTCCCTCCCTCCATGCACAACATCCCCCACCTCCCCCCTCCCCACGCCCTCCCCCACTCACTCCACCACAATACTCCCGTCCCCTACTTCCCACTCCCCCTCTCATACTCCGCCACTACCCTCACACCCGCTCCACGGTCCCCATTCTTGGTACCCCGAGGTCCACACCTTCCTCCCTCCACTCTCTCACATCTATCCCCCTTCTCCGCCACCATAGCACCTCCCCTCTCCCCCGCACCAGCCCCTCAGGTTCTCTTAGCAGTCGCGCTCCCGTCTCCTTTCCCCTCACGGCAACTCAGCGAAGCCGAGCTGCAATGCAGCTGTCTCCCCGCCGCGACCCTCAGCGTAGCCGAGCACCAGTGCAGATGTGTCCCCGCTTCGGCCCGACCCTCCAGCACAGCTGTCTTGCAACTCCACCGCCTCCTTTTCCCCTCCGCTCTCTCCGGACCTCTCTGAAGACTCTCACGATGAGCTTCTCTTCCTCCATCTCCTCTCGCCCACCATCGCCCCCATCGTCCGCACTATGGCTGGCACCACTGTCCTTCTCTTCTCCACCACCCCCACCATCTACGAACCCACCACCTATGAGCAAGCACTTGCTTGTCTTGACGCACCTCTCTGGATCGAGGCCATGGTCAAGGAGAGCAACGCCTTCATCAGCAATCGCTCCTTTCTCAACGTTCCTCGTCCCTCTAAGCACAACGTGGTCAAAGGCAGGTGGCTCTTCCGAGTGAAACTGCTCCCTGGCAACGCTCCGGTCTACAAGGCTCGATATGTGGCAAAAGGCTTTACACAGACCTATGGCTCAGACTTCTTCGAGACCTACTCACCCACCACCACCCCGCCGATCATTCGCGTGTTCTTGGACTTTGTTGGCAGACGCGGATGCTCCTTCACTCCATGGACGTCACCACCGCCTTTCTGCAAGGCGACCTTCATGAGCTCATTTTTCTGGAACGTCCCAAAGGCTTCCATGCTCGTCACGACCCTGCCACTGTTTGGAAGCTGCTACGCCCTGTCTACAGGCTCAAACAAGCACCTCGGGAATGGCACGCCAAACTCTCCTCCACCCTTCGCGCACTTGGCTTTCGCCCCTCCCGTGCCGCCTCTTGCCTCTTCCTCCGCCTAAACCCATCACCCTTCTACATCCTCGTCTACGTCAACGACATGCTGCTGGCCGCTGACACAATTGCTGAACTCCAGGAGGTCAAGGATGAGCTGCAGAAACGCCTCGCCTGCAAAGACATGGGGGAGGTCCGCAACTACCTCGGCATGGAGATCACCCGCGACCTCACTGCCAAGACCATCTCCCTCTCTTTTTCTTTTTACATCGAGAAGATTCTTGAGAGGTTTGGCATGTCCAGATCAAAACCCATCTCCACACCACTTGCATTTGGGCATCGGCTCTCCCCTCCCACCACTCCCGTCACCTCCCCTCATCCCTATGTAGAACTTGTTGGGGCCCTGATGTACGCCATGGTCTGCACTCGTCCCGACCTTGCATACCCAGTCAGTGTTCTGGCGCAGTTCGTTGGCACCGGTCGGAATGGTGACGAGCATTGGAAGGCGGCCATGCGTGTTCTTCGCTATCTTCAAGGCACGAAGGACCATGTCCTCACTCTTGGTGGTGTGAACCCACCCATTCTTCACGGCTTCAGCGACTCATCCTGGGCCGATGCACAACCCGACCGTCGCAGCTCCCAGGGATATGGCTTCACACTCGGGAGTGGACTCTTCAGCTGGCGCTCCACCCGCTCCTCCTCCGTCGCCCTCTCATCCTGCGAAGCCGAACTATACGCGGTCACGATGGCGGCTCAAGAGGCACGTTGGCTCAGCTATCTGCTCACCGACCTTGGCTCCCCACAGCCCTGCCCCACCCTGTGGTGTGACAACGACAGTACCATTCACCTCACCAAGGAAGCCATCTTTCATGGTCGCTCCAAACACATCGAGCTTCGCTACTACTTCGTTCGCGACCTTGTCCAAGATGGTCACATCACCGTTCGCAAAATCGCCTCCTCCGACAACCTCGCCGATCTCTTCACCAAGGCTCTCCACCGCTCTGACCACTCTGCACTTCTGCGTCTCCAGGGACTTGCTCCCCGCGGTGGCTGATTCAGGGGTTGTTGTTCTCTCTTCCCACGCTTATGGATTTCTGTAGGTTAAGGGGTTGTGTCAGATTGCCATCCTCATTGTAACCTACATCAATCCTATAGGCGTAGGATAGAGATAGCCACCCAAACTTAGTTTGGGTGTAGAACTAGGGCTAACCCTAGTTGGGGGTTGGAACTCAAACCTTGGCCCCCAAGGTTGGGTTGGGAATTATTGGTCCCCCCAATAATGTTGAACCACTTGGTCAACATTATTGGTCCCCCCAATAATCCCTCAACCCAACTTATTGGTGGGGGCCAATAATGTTGGCTTGGTTCCAACCAACCCCCCCCCCCCTTTAGCACTACTATGTATACCCCAATCTCTCCTAATGAAATCAATGGTTCTTCCTCACGTTTTCTCACAGTGGATGCCGCGGACCAAGCGGCCAATCGAAGTGGTGCTCCTGCCCGGCACTGAGAAGGAATGCTGCATACGGCTGCAATGCGGAGTCTTGGAATCAGAGGACTATGACGTGCTGGTGGGCATGGAACTCTTATACCAAGTGGGAGCCACGATTTGCACATGGCACGAGAAGGTGCTCTACTGCGTGCAATACTGGGATGCAGAGAGCTCTGTGGGCACGCTGCCTGTTAAGTTTGTGAGGTAGGAACCAAGAGAGGCGTACCAAGCACGTAAGAAGGACCTGAGGGAGGAGTTGGACGACTGGTCGTGGGAGAAGTATGGAGAAGAATATGAGAGGAGGGTGGAGAAGCGAGTGGCAGGACAGGAGCCACCAGTGCTTAAGGAGAGAATCAGTCGAGTGTGGACACTGGAGAGAGCCATCTGCATCGTTGAGCTGTGTGGAGGAATAGGCTCCGGGCTGGCAGCGGCGCTAAGGGCGGGATGTATGGTGAAAAAGTGGATCCACGTGGAGCGAGACCCCATAGTACGGAAGATGGCAAGACATCACGCGAAGCTACTGCTGGAGGAATACCCAGAGCAGCTGTGGGAGTCGGCGATACCCAGAGAA